TGGGTGGGAGGGGGTCAGTGACATAACTGTGCAACTCTGGATATGGAAGGATGGGCGACACTAAAAAAAAAATTGGATCTCCCCATGTAATTACTGGTACTTGGCAACTGTGTGCATACAAGTGTTTGTTATAGTCAACATCACAAATATTAGTGAGCAAACAAAACATTGTTATTGACTACATGGTCAGTAGGCATTGGACCAGAAATTCCACGTCAGCAGTTTTGGCAGTGTCAGATGGTTTATTAAGGTTGTATGGGTAGTTTAAGATGGCAAGATCAATACTGAAGGGAAAGAAATGGATTGTTTTTACTCAGTATTAACCACTAAATGTTTTTTATACAAATTAAAAAAATACATAGAGGCGTGCTACAATTGTTTCTGAGCTAGGGTCTTTGAGAACTATGTCACGCAGTAGTGGTGTGTTAGGTGTGACAAAAGCAATTGCTCAGCACACTGAACTGTCAGGTTATTTCTCTGTCACAATCAGTGGGAAATGAAATTCTCTTCTCAAAGATAGGAGCATGTACCTTATAAACCTACTTGTCATTTTACTTCATTTGGTTTATTGGGTTTGTCAGAAAACAGTTGTGAAAAAGAGAGTGTGATTAGTCATTGGTTTGATTTGGGGGACATTTTGGAGAGAGTGAGGAGGGGTGGGGGGGGGGGGGGGTGACTGCCCGTGCTGTCAACCTCTAGTACATACTTCTTTTCCTGATAAATGCTGGATTATATTTTTGTTTCATTTCAAATTCTTTTAACTTTGGTTTAAAAATAAAAAGCAAACCAAGTTGGAAAATCAGATTGTTTTTACAAATGATTGAAAGGTATCACACTTATAACGGTGATTTGTGATCATTTGTGCCATTTAACCCCTGTCAGAGAGTACCCGCCTATGCAGCCAGTGTTAACACATCTAAACCTGTCTATCACCCCAGGGGCATTCAACCTGTACGACGTGGACCAGGACGGTTACATCACCAAGGCAGAGATGGTGAACATCGTAGATGCTATCTACAGTATGGTGGGGAACATGTTGGACCTGCCGAAAGATGAAGATACACCTGAAAAAAGGGTGGAGAAAATATTTGCACAAATGGATAAGGTAAAGCCAAAAGCACTGTATATATTTTAGAGATGGGTTTAATTACTAAATTATTAATTTAAGTTGATTATTAAGTAAATTGATTTCTGGATTAAAATTGGAGGCCAGTCAGCCTGGACAGAAAACTTTCTGCCAAGTCATATCTGGATTTGTCCTTGTTAGGAATATTAAAAATTTTTAGACTATGTAAATATTTTCCATAAATATATTCGTTTAATATGTATTTATTTTCCAGAATCATGACGGGAAATTATCAAAAGATGAATTCCGTGAGGGTTCTAAGTGTGACCCGTGGATAGTCCAGGCATTGTCCATGGAGATGCCGGCCGGAAGATGACCTCTCCTCTCCTAGCTTCCAGATTGTATCATTTCAGGCGGACTTGGAACTAGGTTAACTTAATCTGGAAGGATACTAATGGAGATCATCCAAGATAGCCCAAATCTCGTGACTTAGCAAAAAGTGGGACAAGATTTTGTGGGATTTGGAATAGAGAGGGTGTCTGAAATAATGAGAGGCGAGCAAGTGCAGTGCGGCAATAAATACAAGCTGACATAATTCATCCATGGATATTTTTTGTTTGTTTTCTCCAAGGTTCTGTTGAGTTAGTCTTTGGCACAACATCGTTTTTTTTCTTTTTTTTTTCCATGTTTTGTATTGTTTTCCAAGACAGCATGCCCAGCACGTAGAAGTTTTCCCTTACTGCTCATAGCTAACCATCCACTCTTCATGTGATGTCTCACATGTTTTCTAGTTTCCTATGACATCACACAGAGCCGACAGCCTCATTTTAGGCCATCTCGAATGATTTCCCTTAAGGTCTTTGGTTGCCCAGATTATAAGCTGGGGTATCTCCTTGACAACTGCACCAACCATGGTGCATTAGTTGCCAGATAGGGGGTATATATCCTTACTGACAATCCAGGGCTCTGTAACTCGAAAGCATTGGGAATTGAGAACGAGCGCAAGCGTCTCTATTCCATAACTCGGGATTTACTCACCCCATATAGGCCTTAATAGCCTCAAAATAAAAGACAATTCGCAATACGCGATGGTTTCGAGTTATGGAGCCCAGGTGTCTGTATTTAGTCATTTTATACTTAGTGTCCCTTACTAGTACTAAATTTATTCACAATTTTTCTTCTCACTTTGACCAAAAATTATCTTTATTGAAGGTGTTATTCAATGTTATTAACATGATAAATGTGGATTTATATCATTTTGGTTAGTGTAACTATGATATTTCCAGTCATCTGCAGTCCACACAGGTGTCCCTGGACAGATTTGAGCATTGTGAAATATTTCTTGTCATCTTATTTGTTATTGTACCACCAGCGTTAGCGCTGGCGGTACACATGGTTTCGGTCTCGTCCGGATCGTTCCGCCGGCTC